GGACTTCGGGGGCCCCTGTGAGGGGTGCAGGCCCCGCCTCCGTGCGGTCCGCTATCCCCCGAAGGGGGAGGGTGCAGACGGAGCGGCCTTGTTCTCCCGGGGGCTGGGGAGGCCCCGCCCACCACGCGGACCTGTTCTGGGGGGGGTCCTCTGAACGATGATGTGGATTGGGCTGGCCCCGCCCACCGAGGGGTCCATCGAGGTCGGGTCTCCTGAGTGGGTGCAGACGGGATCAGACGGCTCTCTCTGGGGGGGGTGTCCAGGGGGGTTCCGGGGAACCCTGACTTAGGGAAGCACACCAGGCAGGACCTGCCCAACAAAGGGTCTGCGATCTCGGGGACCCCTGAAGACAGGTGGCTTCTGGGGGGCTCTCCAGGGGGTCAGGGGAACCCCAGAGCCAGGGGTGCAGGCTGGGCAGGTTCTGTCCTCCTGGGGACCTCCAGGGGTGCAGGTGGGCTGGCCTCGCCCACGGAGGGATCGGAGGAGACCTTCAGTTTCCCGAGTGAGGGTGCAGAGGGGTCCCCTGTGTGAACGCTGCAAACTCGGGGGCCATATCCAAAGGGGTTCCCGGGAGTATGGAGGCCCCTGACTATCAGGATTCAGTTTCCCATGTGTCTTGTCTCAGAGGGTCCTAAGGAGATTCCGGGGATCCCTCTGATTGGGGGGCTGAGACAGTGGACCCCCCCCCAAGAGAGTTCAGAAGTCTCCAGGGATGGATGTATTTGGGGAATTTGGGGGTCTCTGGTCTTGAAGGAGCCTGGGGGCTGAGGCCCTCTCAGGGGTATGGAGGATCTTTGGGGGTCCCTGGGGTCTCAGTTCTCCGTGGAACTTCAGAGGGTCCCTTGATGAGACCAGGGCTGTCGGTGGCTTCACTGGGGTGGGGGCCTAGGGAGTGCTCTGATGCCTGGGGCATCCCCAGGGAGAATCAGCCCAGGGACACAGGTGGCCGGTTTCCCGTCCCAGGGACTGTGGGTGGGGGGCAGCAGGAAGTCTGGGGTGCAGACCAAGCGAGAGGGGGCTGGGAAAGCCTGCCCCGCAGGGAGTCTGGGGGCCTGGGAGATGCACCCGGTTGAGGGCCCTGGCGGCCAACCTGACCCTCCTGGCCACAGCAAGTCCACGCAGGTCTCCAGGGTTGGGTAGGGGGGTGCACCTGCTGCTTGGGTGCGACCTGGGGTCCCGGTCCCCCAAAGCTGGGCTCGATTCGTGGCCCTGCACCTCCACTGGGTGGGACAGCGGGCGGGGAGGGGAGGGGCCTCTGCTGCCCTGACCCCTGGGCCTCAGCCTTCAGCCTCCTGTCAACCCGCCTCTTGGAGCTGTCTG